CGTGATAGGAGAATGTAGCAACGAAGGGAAATACCAGTCTGCCGATCACGCGCGAGTCCCATGTATTTATTTCCTTCGATCCCAAATACGAAGCAATTGCGCCTGCGCGGCGATTGCAGCGCAGCCCAGGCTGCTCAGGGCTCGAACACGAGAACGTCGGCGTCTCAGGTTCTCCAGCCGCCCAGGTGCCCCTGCCGCCCCCGGCCGCCTCGCCCGCCCTGGCCACCCAGCCCTCTGCTCCCCACCGACCGCTCCCGACCCCCTGCTCCCGCCCCCGCCCCACCTCGACTCCACCGGCCCCCCCGGCGCGCCCCCAACCGCCTTCGGCCGTCCCCGCCGCCCGCGGACGTTCCTGGCCGCCCCGCCGCCCCCCTGCCGCCCGCCGCCCCCGGCCGCCCCCGGCGCCCCCGCCGCCCCCCGCCCCCGGCCCCCCGCCGCCCCCGGCCGCCCCCGGCCGCCCCCGGCCGCCCCCGGCCGCCCCCGCCGCCCCCGCCGCCCCCGGCGCCCCCCGGCGCCCCGGCCGCCCCCGGCCGCCCCGGCCGCCCCCGGCCGCCCCGGCCCGCCCCCGGCGCCCCCCGCGCCCCCGGTCGCCCCCGGCCCCCCCGGCCGCCCCCCGGCCGCCCCGGCCGCCCCCCGGCCACGCCCCGGCCCCCCGGCCGCCCCCGGCCGCCCCCGGCCCGCCCCGCCGCCCCGGCCGCCCCCCGGCCGCCCCCGGCCCGCCCCCGGCCCCCCCCGGCCGCCCCCGGCCCCCCCCGGCCGCCCGGCCGCCCCCCGGCCCGCCCCCGCGCCGCCCCGGCCGCCCCCCGGCCGCCCCGGCCGCCCCCGCTGCCGCCCGCGGACGTTGCTGGCCGCTCCCGGTCGCCTCCAGCTGCCCCCGGCCGTCCCCGGCCGCCCCCGGTTGCCCTCGGCCGCTCCTGGGCGCCCCCGGCCGCCCACGCCCACCGCCATTATTTAAAGTTTAATGTAACATACTTAATAATCAATGTGTAAAACAATAATCCACGTGTCTTAGCTGGCATGACAGATGGCACATAGGACTATAGCGAAATGTTCGCACTAGACTTGTTAGCAGTTTTCATCGTGCGTTCGTAAAGGGAAAATATTTGGAAAAACATTAGGTATCAACACTCATTAATTCATACGTGTTATCTGTAACTCAACGTAATTATCTTCAAGTCATTCGTTAGTATGCTTACAGCTAAAAACCAAATGACTTCCCTTCACACGAAAAATTGAAAATGCATAATTATATCACATTACACTCGAATTCTAAGAATCCAACATTCTTGTCTATTACAGATTCCTCTTTTTCTTACAATTTATTGTGAACAATATTTCAATACATTATTTACGGACCGCAAAACTGACACTTCTCTAAAATACGACTTTTTCCTATGTCCAATATAACCATATTATTATTATTATTATTATTATTATTATTATTATTATTATTATTATTATTATTATTACTGTCTGTCTAATATTATTAACAGCAAAACGTCTACAAAGTCTTTTCGAAGAGCCTATCTCTTTTTCTATCCCTTGGTAAGCATGAGCATTTCACAGCCAGAGAAAACATTTACTCGTTTTTACATGTTTACCTCAAATCATCATTTTTCAAATTGTCCCAGTATTGCAGCCATTCATATGATGTAATAAATGTGGAGTGGTCTAGCAATTTGCAACCAATTTTTTCCTAATTCAGTTATTTTAAATATGTACAAATCAAGTGAATCAAAGTGTACAGAATATCTAACATCAGAAAATATGATTAAATTTGTTGTATTGAAAAGTTTGTGATGGCTAATCAAGATTCATAGAAAGTGACAACATGTTATATAGTCAAGAGATAATGTGGCGTGATAATGGAGAACTGATAGTTCTGAAAATCGAAAACAACTATCGATAAAGCGAAATTTCCGACATTTTTGTATGCATTTAAGATGATAGAGAGAAAGATGAAAACTATTCTTTCTAAATAATCACCAGATCATCCATGGAAGAGATACCGCTGAAAATGTTCGTCAGCAAAACGGACATGCCAATGGCGAGTGCTGCCCCAAGCTCCATTTGACAGACATTTGTAGACCTAGCTACGAACGGAAGACATCTACTCCCTGGATGGAAGAATGTTAAGGAAAGCGATCAGTCATGCTACATTCATAATATAAACTTTTTTAAATCACTACCTATCATTTCTTTATTAAGAAGTGAGATTCTAGAAAATTATTCGAAGAGAATAGAAATCCGAAAACGAACTTTTTTGTTACATTAATCAGACAGTTCAATGTCTACTAACACTATCTAAAACACACATGTTATTTACTCAACAACTTTTAAACCTATTTAGAACTTCCACATTAAACATTGGTTAAATTATTTGACAAATTAATCGTTCAGAAAATTGCATAGTCTTGTGAGAAGCTCGGTATTATATTTAAAGGATCCTCTCATATGCGTTGTAATTAACATAAGTGCTAGGTAAACGACGAGAAAGCCATCAAATAAGAGAAACGAATAAGTGCTTATTTTCATTACTTGGCAATTCTGATTCAACGTTACTCTACAAGTCTACTGATGTGAATCACTGCAATATGCTTGTAGCTTTTTTCCGAATGTGTTGTGCTACGTAATTATGAAAATAAACACTTATTTGCTTCTCTTAGCTCCTCGGGTAGCTCATGGACAGCGTGCTAGCTGGATAGCTTATAGACAGACAGTCCCGGGTTCCATTTCCGGCTGGAACCAAAATAAAACTGTAGCTTTCTAATACAAATATCTCCATTTGTATAGTTGTGTAAGGAAAGGAAGCTCAACCAGGCCAAGTAAGCTACAGTGATGGGAATTCGGTACACTCACCACATATCTCCCTTACCGCCACGCGAGGATAAATAAATGAAATCGGGGCCCAGGCCTGGGAACACCGCTAGCTGGGAAAAATCGGATCATTCCGACCCTACGTAAATGCCATATACACACACATGCGTTTGCTTCTCGTGAAATATTGTGTTGAAGACACAATCTAACACGCGTGATATTAAATGCCATTGGATGATAGGGTCATAGGAAATCGCCTTCTGCATACGCTAAGCCCCGCGCGTCGCGAGTGCCGTACGCTGTGGGGGCCGTGGCCACCGCCCCGTGCGCGCCGCCGCGACAGCCGAGCGCCGTGTGGCGCGCCGGTGGCCGTGGCCGTGTGGCCTGGCTGCGCGCAGCGGCACCGCAGCGGCGGCGGCGGCGGCGGCGCGGCGCAGCGCCTCTCCGCGCCGCGGCCTGCGCGCGCCAGCCTACCTCCGCTCCCGCTCGGCTCCGCCCCCCCCCGCCCCGCCATCCTGCCCCACACACGCCCGCACCCTCGCACAGCTTCTCGCGCGGGTGACGTCAGAGGCGCGGCGCCGCCGCCGAGAAGGGCGGGGCGCGCGCTCTGGCGGCCGTGGAGGCGAGCCGGCGAGAGGCAGGCGGGAGACGAGAGGAGGCAAAAGCAGGCGTGTGGTGGACGAGAGAAGGCGGAATGTGACGAGAGGTGGGCGACGGCGGACCAGTAATGGCGAGAGGAGGGAAAAGAGCGGGCGAGTGGTGGACGAACAGTAAACGAGCGATGGGCGAACGGTGGTAGAGAAGTGGCCAATACCGAGTGGTGGACGAGCGGGGGCGAAGGTGGACGAGAGGTGACGAGCGGCAGGCGAGCGGTGGAGAAGAGTGGGCAAAGCAGTGAGTGGTGAGCGAGCAGTGGGGGTAGCCGCGGGCGAGCGAGGCGTGGTGCGTGTCGAGAGGCGACGAAGGTAGTCAAAGAGCGAGCGGTAAGCTACGGGCGAGCGGAGGACGAAATGTGTGGCGAGCGGTGACGAGTTCAAGGAGCGACTAGTGGGAGATTGAGACTGAGTGGCGGGCGAGTGGTGTTCGAGCGAAGGGCGAACAGTGGACGAGCGACTGGAGAACGACGGGCGCTTGGTGGACTTCGCGGGCGAGTGGCGGGGGAGGGGCGAACGCCCGATGGACGAGTTGTGAACGAGCAAATACCGCATGTGAATAAGTAAAATGCATCAAAGGACGACGGGAAACGGAAGAAACGGAGCAACAAAAGGCCAGGAACGAGCGGCGTACGGACGTCAGCTAAGCCAATAAACTTCAAGGGAATAAAAGGATGCGAATGAGATGAACTGTCGAGAAGGGGGAGAAATAGTGAGTGGGCAAATGGGGTCTGGGAGGAATACGTCACGTTTGGCGTCGGCGGGGGCTAGCTGACACATCTGAGTAAATACCGTTGCGGGGTTCAGACGTGTGGGTGGAAGAGTGAACATAAAATGCGCCTAAGGAAGGAGGCTGGTGGCAGACGACGCGAATCGTGGGCAGCCCGCTGCCGTGGCATATTACTCGTTAGGGAGGGGTGGTGGTGAAAGTATCAGAGGCCAAGGGCAAGCGAGTTGCTTGGAATGAACGTGGACGGAAGAACAGCAAAACGAATAACATAATATGAGCGTATGGAGACGGGCGAGAGCGCGTGTTCGTAGGAGCGGGTTTGCGCAAGGGGGCGTGGCACAGCGGGGGGGGGACTCGAGAGGGTCGTGGAGGGCGAGTGGGGAGGGCTCGAAGTCGCAGGACAGCGCAGTCGCGGTGTCGAGGGCGCCAGGGCAACGGGGACGAGGCCTCAGGTCCCGTCTAGGGAGATGAAGGAGGGCGCAGAGCAAGGTTACAGGGAGGGCGCTCCCTCGGGAGGCAGGGGGTTCCCCTTGACGCGCTCATTAAATTAGGCGCATTCATCCAAAATGTCACGTGTCCTCGTTTCCGTAAAACAAAATAGCAAGCGCTCGCCAATGGAGCGGTGAATTAAGTGGTTCCTTCCCAAACCCTCGCGGCTACTTACATGCCCAAATGGTAGAGAGTATATTAAACATAATAGTCCAGGGAGAGCCATAATAATCCAGAGACCAAGATGGCGGCTACGTCGACGTGGGTAACAGTTGCCAGGGTGCATGATATCTAGGGGTGTGGTCGGATTCGTGGCGTGGAGGGGACGGAACAAAGAAACCGTAATGCTTCGGAAATCAAGGCTCGGCTTTTA